TGTGTGGGCTGTGGTTTAGGACATAAGTCGAAGACTTGGAAGTTCCTTTTTTATGCTTTTGGTGTTTTTTCTCTGTGACATCTGGGAAAACAGAATTCTTTTTCAAAGGGCTTCTGTTTATCTTCAGTGCGCTGCTACCAGACCCATGTGCTTGCTGCAGAGAAGCAGAGTAAGCAACGGGAAGAAGTTTAACAATATTTTGGTGTGTTAGGACTATTCTTAGTTTATGTCTCATATGTTCTGTTTGTGATAAAAGTGAGGTCACCTCTCTTATTAAGGTGACCAAATTAAGTAGATAAGCCTTTTTTCCCCCCTGCAATTGCACAAAACCATTCTCATGGAGATCTTCTGGCCAGATTTTCCTGGGGTCCTTGGGGGACGTTGTCCTCTCCTGTGAGCACTGTCCATTCATGACTGTTTCTCCTCTTTCCAGTGGGTCGTTAGGATGGGGGTCAGGACATCCTCTGCCAGCCCCCTCTGGCCAGCTCAGGTCCTGGACAGACCTGCCTCTGTCCCTCACCCCACTCCACCTCTCCCTGTATGCCCAAGTATATTTCACAACGTCTGGATTCTTCAATCTCTTTTTTTAAAAATTTATGTTTGTAGAGTCAAGGGTGGAGGGGTGAGGGACTGGAGAATATAGAGACACAGTGGAAATCTTACTTCTTGGAAAACTTCCTTCTTTCAAGCCTGTGTTGCTGTGACTCAGGACATTCATTTTGTGTTTGTATCACTGAGAAGAAAATCTGAGTTTAACATCTCAGGCTGAACTTGGCACCCAGATTGAAAGTGGCATCTTATTTTTTTCAAGAACAGGGGATGTGCTTTTTCAGAGGTAGTGAGAATATTAACTCATGAATAGTAAATTTTACATGAGATGCAGTTTTTCAGTCATTTTTATTTATTTTTTCATACATTCAGTGAATATTTAGGGAGCACTTAACAAGTGTTCTAGGTGCTGCTGAGATCTCAGAGCAAAAACCAGAAAAATCCTTGTGTTAAGAAATTTAGGGCAACAGTGGTAGATAAACAGATAAAGGAAACACCGTGTGTGAGGAGTCAGCCAGGGAAGAGCCAGCAGGAAAACAGTGGGGGAGGGGGGAGGGGGCAGGGCCTGTGGCTTTCTCACACCTCTAGGGGAGGGTACTGGCTTCATGCTCTTGGCTGCAGAAGAGGACATTGAGGCCCGCCTAGGTGGTAAGCAGTAAAGGTTGAATTTGAACTTGAAATTGAACGTGGGCTCCTGTTTGCTGCCTCTAAGACAACAAAACTCAGTTTCAGGCGAATCCCGGGGCCCACGGAGATCTCGCGTCTCTCCACCATCCATTTGCTTGTGTTTTGTGTATCGACATGCACATTTTAAAAATTAAAATACTTCCTTGATCTCAGTATTAGATAGTAAATACAATGTTTTTGTAAGGCATTTTAATTTTAATTTACACTCCATTTTAAAAACCGTGGGCTTCCGCTGTCGGCACCTGCCACATTCTATCCATCTATCCTCTGGGGCCCCTGGGTTGCTGCACCTCAGGCTCTCGCAGATCGCTGCCTGTGAAGACAGGTATAAGAGCGGTTGAGCCCCTGCTTCCAGTTCTTTTTTTTTTTTTTTAAAATAATAAATTTTATTTTTATATTCCCCATACAATTGCAACCCCCCCATTTTGACCCCAATCCCTCCCCTCCCACCCCCCATGCTTCCAGTTCTTTGGGGATGTACCCAGAAATGGAGTCAGGGTCTGATCTGGTCACTGTGTGGACATCCGGGCTCCATGGTGGCTGCACGCACGCCAGACCCTGCTCCCTCTGCCGCCTTCACGACACTTGCTGTGTTCTGGTTTCTGACAGGAGCCATCCTCATGGGTGTGAGCTGGCATCTGTGGTTTTGATTTGCATTCCAGAAATCTGAAACTTTGAAAAGGAGTAGGGGCCCTGCCTGCTTGGCCAGGGGAAGAAGGCTCAGGTAGGAGGGGTGGGGACTGGTCAGGTGACTATGACTGAGGAGGTGAAGGGAAGCAAGGAAGGGGCATTTGCAGAGCCTGGTCCCTGGGCCTGGGTCCTCTATCAGGTAGCTGAGTAACTGGATTGGCCACAGGTTAGGGGTGGGAACTTCTGGTCCTCTTCCCCACCTGCACCCCAGTTAAGTGTTCATGAGAAACAGCTTCTTTATTCAGCAAGATTTTCATCCCTCATCACTTCTTGCCTGCCTCTGCTCCCCTCTCAGTGACCCTGAGCACTGTGAGAGGCCAGGCTGAGCTGCCTTGGGGGGGTGGAGGGGAGTCAGGAAGATGGAGGGGAGTCAGGGAGGTGGAAGGGAGTCAGGGAGGTGGGGGGGGAGATGTCAGAAGGCAGGGAGAGCACAGGGGCTTCCCAGGAGTGGGCTCAGACCTGCTTTGCACTGTAAGCCACCGAGGAGCCCCAAGGGTGGGCTGTATCTATGGAAACAGAAAATGAGAATCTTGAAAAAATATTTAGTAATTTTTTTTTTTAAGATTTATTTTTTATTGGGCCTCCCCAGTGGCCCAGCGGTTGAGCGCTGGGTTGCGAAGCTGCCCGCAGCCTCTGAGGCGCCGGTTCGATCCCCGGGTGCTCCCCGGCCACTGGAGGAGGGTCCCGCATGGCGCGCAGACCTCTCCTGCCGCCCGCTGCTCCCCTCAGCAGTGTATTTCGTCAGTCTGCCTGTTCTGTTCTCTGCTCTGGCTTTGGTGAATTCTCTCACCCTCCCGCACTTCTGACTGTACCCAGTGCTTGTATAAATAAATAAATAAATCTTTAAGAAAAAAAAAGATTTATTTTTTATTTATACAATAGCTGGGGTACAGGCCAGAGGCGCAGGAGGGTGAGAAAATTCACCAGAGACAGTAGGGAGCAGAACAGGCAGACAAACCAAAAGCACTGCTGAGGGGAGCAGCGGGCGAGGCAGGAGAGGTCTGCTGTGCCATGTGTGAATCTCCCCTGGCTGGCCGGGAATTGAACCCACGCTGCAGAGGCTGCGGACAGCTTCACAGCGCTGCGCTCAACCCGCTGCGCCACCAGGGAGGCCCAGTAATTCTTTAAAAATAAGGAAAACCATGTGTTTGTATAAATAACATGTTCTGTGATAATAACTGCATTTGCCAAAACATATTTAGTGCAGAGAGTGACATGTTCCCATAGTCGCTGATGTGTCAGCGCCTGGCGGGGGGATGGTCACTTCTTCCAGGACCTGTGGCAGCACCACCTGGCACGTAACCCCGGGAATTTCCACCTGCAAAGAGAGTGAGAAAGGCTGCAGCCCTACCAGTGTCTTGGTGTTGTAGGACTGTCCAGCGAGGGTCTGGGAGCCCCCAGCCAGCCTGCGGGCTCACTACAGAGGGTGCGAGGGCTAGCGCTGCCTCTCACCTGCTGGGAAGGCACCTCACCTCTCTGTGCCCAGTGTGCTCGTGGGTAAACTCAGCACAATTCAAGTACCTGCTTCAGAGGATTAAATATGTGCTTATTAGGTGCTTAGTACATTGCTGGAAGATATTTAAGTATGCCATTCATGCTTATTAAATAAGACCTAATCTTTTCCTTTAAGGATTTAGTCTAGCTTAAGTAGGTAGACAGGTAACTCAACAACCTGAAGGTTTTGTATAAGTGCATTGAAAGGCATCTGCAGCAGGGCACACGCTTCTGAACTTTGGGCTCAAGAATCAGGGTATGTTCTTGTCCAATGAATGGAACAGGCAGATTTCCTGCAGTGCTGGGTAAATTCTTACTTCAGACGCGGTCCGTCATTTGTCATGGTTTAACTTAGTTCTCTTCCAAATCCTCATGAAGGAGTGGGGGAGCAGCCTGGTTGGTTTGCTTCTGTAGTGCCTGCTTAGCCCCCAAATCCTCCTCCTTGTCGAATGTCCTCAGTGCCTGGGATAGCTGGTGGTGATTGAAGGTCATGGACAGTTATGAGCAAATGACTATCAAAACATGGGGGAAACATTTCTGTGATCCACTGGGATTTTATGGTACATATTTATCACTGCCGGACCACTCTGGGTCTTATTATCAGGAAGAAGTTGCAGATTAAACTTTTCTTGTAATGAAGAAAAACTTAATCCTTTTGCTTCTGAAAGTGGTCAAATTTGTCTTAATGTAACTTACTACTTTATCTCATTGTTTTCATGAATTAAATGGATTTTAAAAATCCCACCTGTTTAAAAATGACCCAGTTAGGGCCTCCCCTGGTGGCGCAGCGGTTGAGTGCTGGGCTGCGAAGCTGCCCGCAGCCTCTGCTGCGCTGGTTGAATCCCTGGCCACGGCGAGGGTCCCACATGGCACCGCAGACCTCTCCTGCCGCACCTGCTGCTCCCCTCAGCAGTGTATTTCTTCAGTCTGCCTGTTCTGTTCCCCCCTCTGGCTCTGGTGAATCCTCTCACCCTCCCGCTCTTCTGACTGTACCCAGTGCTTGTATAAATAAATAAATAAATCTTTAAAAAAAATAAAAAAGAAAAAAAAGAAATAAAAATGACCAAGTTATATAGTTTTATGAGAATAACAACAGGTCAGAGGTTGTTTCAAAGTCTAGTGGGTTTTTTTTTTTTTTTTAAAAAAAGATTTATTTATTTATGCATGCATGCAAGAACTGGGATACAGGGCAGAGGTGTTGGGGGGAGCGGTGAGAGGATTCACCAGAGACAGAGTAGGGAACAGAACAGGCAGACTGACTGAAACACACTGCTGAGGAGAGCAGCAAGTAAGACAGGAGAGGTCTGCTGTGCTATGTGGGTAGCTCCCTGGCCGGGGATCGAACTCGTGCTGCAGTGGCTGCAGTTAGCTTCATAGGTTGTGTCTTCAAAAGTGAGGCTGTCACTTTTCCCCATGAGTGCTTTTTGTCCCCATGAGTGCTTTTTCTCCGGCACATTTGGTTGTCCCCATGAGTGCTTTTTCTCCGGCACATTTGGTGGTTAAGCTCCAGCATGGCTGGTGGTGGTTGTGGGTAGACCCAGTCTCTGCCAGTGAGTCACAGAAGCCTCTTCCCCTTACAGATCCGACGGAGGCGCCTTGCACGACTCGCCGGTGGACAGACCTCCCAGCCGACCACCCCGCTCACCTCTCCCCAGAGGGAGAACCCTCCCGGGCCTCCGATAGCAGCATCCGCCCCGGGCCCCTCCCAGAGTCTTGGTCTCAATGTCCACAACATGACCCCAGCTACCTCCCCAATAGGTGCATCAGGTAAGCCTCGCCCTTGCTCCTGTGTACAGTTCCAGGCGTTGCTGCCTGAAGCTGAGAGCTGTCAGCTTCCTCAGCAGGCAGCCAACAGATTAGGGACAGTACAGGGTGTGTCTTGCTTTGCCCCATCTCCATGGTGATCTTTTCAAATGAATTGCTTTCCTTTCCACAACTTTTATCTTTTTTTCTTTCAGTCAGGGTCAGGTGGCACTGTGGTGGCACCATCATTAAGAGTAAACTTAATTCTGCTGATTTTTGTGAGTTTGGTTGATGCTTTTTTTTTAAAAATAAAAGAATCTGAAAATGCAAGATTGTGATAATATTGCCAAACTAATAAGTGTAATTACAGATTTCCTTGTCTTTTTTTTTTTTTTTAAGATTTATTATGCGTCTAAGAGCTGGGGTGTAGGCCAGAGGTGTGAGAGTGTGAGACAGAGTGGGGAGCAGAACAGGCTGATCTACTGAAATACACTGCTGAGGGGAGCGAGACAGGAGAGGTCTGCTGCACTGTGTGGGTCAGCTCCCTGGCTGGGGATCAAACTCGTGCTGCAGTGGCTGCTGATAGCTTTATAGTGCAGAGACTTTAACACCTTGTGCCACCAGGGGGGCCCTTCTTGTCTTTATTCTACACTGAAGTAGAATACCTCAGTGTATAAGAACTTTAGGGTATAAAAACTATTCCTGATGTGATGTTTATAACTGTCTCATTGACACCTGTTTAACTTTCATAAAGGTTTATTTCTTAAAATGAATGAGCTCCTGGTTGCTATCCAGCACTCTTTGTTGGGGCCTGAGGGGGTGAATTCACATTGTATCTGAGAAAAAAAAATCTACCCTTGCCCTAAGTGAACTTTTCAGTCAAACGTAACAATGATTGTTAGTACCATATTTTTCACTCTCCCCAGTTTTATGGCTGTCATGCGGCACTGTGTAAGTTTCAGGTACACAGTGATCCCGTTCACCACCTGCACCCTGTCTCGGGCAGTGGAGGAAGCTAGAGAAAAACCCAGAACCATGCTGCCCATCTCATTGCAGATTCACAGTCACAAACTCAGCGGGCCAGTCACCGCCTGTCCCCGTCCACTCTCGACCTCTACTGCTCCCCTGCCCCTTCTTCCTGAGCCTGCAGCACCTCGCCCTCCACGCGCTCCTCCGCTGATGGCCTGTCTTCCTGTTTCTTTTTTTTAAAGGCAAAAAAAAAATCTGTGTTGCTTCCCCTCCCCACCCCTACCGTGATGCCCCTTGGACTCGCTCTCCCTCCACCGCCTTCTATCGTCACACACCTCACTTCCTTATGAGCACCCACTAGGTTATAATTATTTGGTTCATCTGCTGTGGTCCTGTCTTTCTCAGGTCTGTGAAAACGTTCAGCATCTGTATTTATCTTTCTGATTGGCTTTGCTACTGGTAATTCCCTTGTACTCCTTCCAGTTTGCTTTAAATGGTAACATTTCATCTTTCCTGATGGCTGGGTAGTGTTCCATGGTGGGGAGAGACCACATCTTCTTCAGCCAGCCTGCTATCAGTGGGCATTTAGGCTGCTTCCAGGCCCTAGCTGTTGTAAATAATGTTCCAATAAATAATGTGGAAAATACAGTTTTGAAGTCAGTGGTTTCATGTCTGTGCCATCCTATTTTCACGGGAAGACAGGCAGACGGGAACCTCTCAATGCTGCTGTGATGCTTCCACTTCTGTCTGTGTGGGTGACCCTCCCCGTCATGCGTGAGCTGCCCCTGCCTCAGTGGCCAGCTTCTGGTTGCCACCTCTGTGCTGTGCAGTCCTGATTCTGTTTCTTAGTCACAAACAGGTAGATGTTAACAGCCGTGCTCTTGCAGGTTGGGGAAACATATCTTCATGAATTTACTAAGCAAGTTAAAAAAAAAAAAACCACACAGGAAACAAACCCTCCTAAGGCAGTCTTCTGTTGGCTCCCTCCGCTGGCTCCCTGCCTCACTCAGGAGGAAAGTCCACGTCCTCACCTTGACTGGGCTGGCAGGAGCTGGTGGGACCCAGCCCTGCTGCTCCTCTCACCTCCTGTTCTCGCTTCCTCCGCTTCAGCCTCGCTGGCTCCCCTGCTGCCCTAGGGTGGTCCAGCCATCATCCCTGCTGGGTACTCTGGGTGCTGGTTCTCTGCCCAGGGATGCTCATGTCCCAGGATCCACCTTGCTCTCTTGCTCAGCTCCTCAGATGTTTCTTCAAATGTCACTTGCTTAGTCCAGACCTTTGACATCACCCTCCCCCCACATCTGCACACGCAGCCTATCTCCAGCAAGGACGCTTTCTCTTGGAGCCTGTCTCCACAGCCCATGAACACACATGCGGCCCCATGTCCTGCTTTCTCCGCCTCCTTGACTGGTGTGTGAGCCCCAGGATGCGGGTCTTGTGTCTGGTGGACTCACTGCTGTATCCCCAGTGCCTAGAAGAGTGCCTGGCACTTGGTAAGTGCTGAGTAAAACTCCTGCTGAATTGATGAATGAATCACAAGAGAAAGTGTGACCAAATCAACACAGGCACGCATAGCTTCAAGAAAAGATGTTTCAAGAGGACGTAATAGCTTTCTGTGTGAAAACTGTGAGACGTGGCCTGCAGGACGGTGGTGGCTGGTGCTTGTTCTCTGTGGAAGTAAGTCTGCAGTTGGCCCAGGGGGTAGTTTTTACCCACTAAAGGTGAAGGGGAGACTTTTGTTCCAGAATCAAGAGTGCTTCTGACAGCAACTAGCACCGCATGGGCAGCCACCGTGGTGAGGTGGTCCTCCCGCCTCGTCTGGGCAGGCCCGCAGCCCCTTCATTGAAACACTTCCAGCTGTGACCGAAACAGGCTCAGGCAGCGGCCGTGAGTCCCCAGAGTGGCTCTTTCTGTCCGCAACCAGCCTCCTGCAGCGCCAGCCGCTGCCCTGGCTTCCCAGGACCCTGTCACTAAGCACCGGCGGACCAGGATTCTCGCACAGCCCGGGAGGCTGGGAGTCAAAGGCAGAGTGTGGGCAAGACCCTGCTCGCTCCGATGGCTCAGAGGAAGAACCCTTTTCTTTTCAAGAAGTACGTCCATTTGAATCTGGCTGGCATTTCCTTCCTCCAGACATGAAGGGTGCAGGACAGTTGGCTTCGCAGGGGGCACTCTGCTTCTTCCCGCAGCCGCAGTCCTCAGGCCCTCTGGGTTCTGGCAGCTTCGGGGCATCTCCGCCTCTGTCTTCTCTCGTCCTCTGTGTGGTGTGGGTCCAAGCCTCCCGCTTCTCACCAGGACAGTGGTTATGGGACAGGTACCATGGGAACCCCTTGTGACGGCACCCTAACTTGATGTTTGCAAAGACCCCACTTGCCAGGAGGAATATCATCTCTGCTCCTTTTCACTTTAATTCAATTAGCATTTCTTCAAGGTATGCATATTTTATCTTCCACCCAGTTTTAGGGAGAAAGAAATGATTTTTATTGAGAAATAGTTGACACTTGTCACTGTGTGAGTTTAGGTGTGAGCCTGAGGGTGGCTTTATAGACACCATGACATGATGTGATGAGCTGACAGCACCATCTCGTGTAGAAACAAAGGGAAGGGAAGAGAAGAAAAGGAAGAAATTGGTTCCTTGTGATGAGAACGCGAGGGTTTGCCCTGCTGCCTGCCCTCCCGTGCCTCTTGCAGTCACACCCGTGCGCTTAGTTAGCTCGCACAACTGCTAGTTTGTGCCTTTTCATCGCCTTCCTCTCCCTCCAGCTCCGATAACCATACATTTGATCTCTTTTTCTGTGACTTTGGTTTCTTCTGGTTTTTTCCCCTCCTCCTATTAGAGCACAAGGTTAGAACAGCCACCTCATCAGAGCTGATCACCCCCTAAACCCTAGAACCTGCAGACCCACAGGTGCGCTGTGAGGTGTCTGTCACTGGTTACATGACCGAGTGAGTGGGGTAGAACCCAACTCGATGTTGGAAATGTGAGGTGTGAAGTCAGAGCGGAGAACCCTTGCTAACGTTACTCTTGAGGATTAGCAGATCTGGTCCTTTGCTTCTCCAGGTGCTCTAGCAGAAGCATTTAAATCCCTAAGTCTATACTTTTCTTCCAAAACTACACAAAATAATTACTCTCAAGTATTCTGGACACAGGTGACAACATGTAGGACATGTACATGATGCCTGTGAAACCCCCGTGGAGGCCTGGCTCCCACACCCTCCCCCACCAGCAGGCCCTGTTCTGCCTTTTGCATTTATCACTTGCAGACATTTCTTTTTTTTTTTTTTTTAAGATTTATTTATTTATGCATACAAGAACTGGGGTACAGGCCAGAGGTGCAGGGGGTGTGTGTAAGAGGATTCACCAGAGACAGAGTAGAGAGCAGAACTGGCGGACTGACAGCGGGTGAGACAGGAGAAGTCAGCTGCGCCATGTAGATCGCTCCCTGGCCAGGGATCGAACTTGTGCTGCAGAGGCTGCGATAGCTTCATAATGCTGTGCTTTACCCCTTGCGCCACCAGGGAGGCCCCTACTTGCAAACATTTCTTTTTTTTTTTTATAATAAATTTTATTTTTATATTCCCCATACAATTTCAACCCCCCCCATTTTGACCCCAATCCCTCCCCTCCCTCCACCCACCCCCCCAAAAGTGTCTCTGGTTCATAGATTTTTGTTGATTTTGATTTTCACTTTCTTATAGTTATTCATTTTCCTGGTCCCTTATTTAAGTTTTCTAGATTCCTGCTATGAGTGAGACCATCCGGTATTTTTCCTTTTCTTTCTGGCTTATTTCGCTGAGCATGATCCCTTCCAGTGCCATCCATGTTGCTGCAAATTGCATGTGTTTATCTTTTTTGAATGCTGAGTAATATTCCATGGTGTATATGGACCCCATCTTCTTGATCCAGTCATCTATTTTTGGGCATTTGGGCTGTTTCCAAAGCTTAGCTATTGTAAATAGTGCTGCTATAATCATAGGGGTGCAGGTGTTCTTTGGAATTGATGTTTCTGTGTCCTTTGGGTAAATACCTAGGAGTGGAATGGCTGGATCATATGGAAGCT